GATTGAGACAGAGGAAAACAGAACAAAAGGGTTTGTTTTGAACAATGCGTTTATTCTATTTAATTTTCACAAACATCTGTCCACGCAAGAATTAAGCTAGTGGCTGTCCACCTAAGAGCGGTCCGGCGAGTTTGGGATCGCCAGTAAACCTTCCCTTTGTTTTTTGTGGGTGAAAAGGACTTAATGAGGAATGATTAAAATCGAACTAATTTTTTTCAAAATCCTTTTCTGGACTTCGCTACAGAACAAAACTTCTTTCCTGTCTGAGAGCGCTTTTTCAACCTTATTCCATGGCCGAAATTCGGTGATTTTAAAAGCCGCGCTTCTTCGTAACGGATAAATATCGCGAAATTCTACATAGTACAATGGATTTAGCTGCAGTTGGCTTGTCCCTTGACGGAATATGGAATAACTTGACGCAAAATTAAATTAAATTAATAAAATCAAACACAAGCCCCTTTGCGTTTTTTTCCCTCTTGACAAATTCTTCCAAAGTAAAAGCTAAAATCTCCAAAGCGGTACAAAAATCACTGGTAAAATGCACTTCACAGCAAAGATCTTACCTTATTCTGTCCGAAAATAAAGTCAAAGGTGCGGGTATCGTTCTGGGTTGGACGTGATCAAACGTTTTTAAGAGCCTCTTTTCGGCATTATTTGCATAGATTTGCCCGCTTAACGGTTCACACACAACGACTTTAATTTAGTAGATATTTTCTCAGTAGCTGAGAATGTTTTTGTGTATCCTCAAAATTACCAACATGTGTTTTCTTTACACTAGCCTTTTTAAGTTTGTATAAATGAAAGCCGAAAAAAATGCCATAAACTGACATTCTTGATCAACCCGTCGGATATGCAAATCGTGCTTGTTTATAGACAGGTTGTCCATTTCAGCATGTTAAAATCTCAAACTACGTATGGTTATTAACTTCTTCTCAAATGTAATCAATCTTCAGCTAGGAAACTCACCAACTGGACAACCTTTTTAAACTAGAAATTTATCTCATATTCCGTTTGAGTTTCTTTTTCCGTTTCGAGCATTTGACATGATTTGAATTTGAATTCCCACATTCTTGTTTATCCCTCATTTATGGTGAACATGTCGGATTCTCTCACCTCGGGTGACTTTTCTCGAGTAGCTCTTGAGAAATTATTATGAATCACTTTAAGTTTGGTGAAGGGTATGTCTGTTGTAATATTTTTCCGAGTGCGGGTAAGATTGAACGTTTGTCCCATACACGCCTTCAGTCATATGCTAATTTCCATTTTTGTCACGCATTATACCTCCTGTATCGATCCCTTTCTTTGCATAAACAAATAAAGGGTGAACATTACCTTATTGATAGGGGGTGGGGGGAGGACAAGGACACCGAGATTAAAAAAGAATTTTACAGGGCTGGAAGGATAATATATATTATACATACAACGAAGTGCCAGAGTGGTGTCCTCATCGATAGTGCTCAAAAACTTATAAGGCGATTTCAAAAACTTATAAGGCGCAAATATCTATATAAATATATTCAAGTGCTCAATAGTTAACCTAGAGCAGAATAGAAGTACACTGATGAAACTGGATTAAGTCTTGAAAATTTGTTGCTACCCAGAGTTTCAGTTCAGTTACAGTTTGCGAGGCAATCATCAGGCAACTGCCAAAATTAACGGTTACAATCAAAGATATAGGTAAAACAGAACCGTAAATACTAGGAGTGGCGCGTGGCTCGTCGCGCTGTTTATAATTTGTAAACCTTTAATGTCTACCCTGGACAATAGAAATGAACTAATCTCAGGTTGCAGGCACTCAAAGAAATTTCTACTAAACACTGTCCTAACTTGGTTAGTTCTTGTCGCAAATTTGACATGTTGTAAAGCATCAGTTAAGTACGACGCGCCACGCACCTACGCCACGCCTGGCATTTATTGTTTTGTTTTACCTGATGATTCGCCTCGCAAGAGGCATGACTCACTGAGTAGAGGAGTAGCAATAAATGTTCAAGATATAATCCAGTCCCATCAGTCTACTTCTATTATATACATACATATATACAACTTTATCTAGAAGCCAAAATTAATGCAGCCCCCACCCCCATCAATAATCGAACGGTCCACGCCCAAGAACACGTAAACTGCCACATTGCTTGTAATTAAATTGATTCATTACCAGAAAAAAATCCTAACTCCTATTATATGCCAGGGGCACCCAACGACGGTTTCCTCCTATATGCATTGAGAACACTTTTTAGGCTATCCAGAGTACTTTTAGATCTCTAGAAATGTATTCCAAGTGGCGCTAAAAAGACTTATCTGTTGGGTCAACTAGGGCAACCGTGAGTCTTTTTTCCCGAAAATTTTAGCTGCAATTTAAAATTTTGCGAAAGTGAGAAATTTTCTGATTCCTTTCTGTATCGCATTTTCGGTTCCGAGAATTTTAGGTTTCCTTTCTCTACCAAAAACAGCTTAACCTGGGGTGTGAAATAGGAAAAATTAACCTTCAGAAAATCGTAAGGAATTTATTAGATTAGCTTCAAAAATTGTACATGCGTGGAACGGTCATCTAATAAATTTTTAGTCTTCGTCAAGCTACAGAAAATTCTGGGCAATTTTGCTTCTCCGAACAGATCGGCATTCTATGCGGCCAGTTGGATTACCCCAGTCCTTCCCTAGGTTCGCACGATGTATCGGACATACAAACATTTTTTCACCTTGTTGGGCAGTTTTACCAAAATACCCAGCCCCCTGCAAAGTAAGTTCAGGGGCACCCAACGAAAATTTTCGGAAGAATATCTGTTCGGAAGACGATTTGAGATCTAGAATTTTCGAAACATTCTTGTAAAATTTCTTGCTTGTCTGCCTCTCCTAGGATTTTCGAACATCCAAAAAATGGTATATTTACCTATTTTTAACGGATTTTTACCCTAAAAAGGCCACCTAGAATTTTCTGAAGCCTTTTTTCTGGCTGAAATTTTCGAAAAGGTAAGTTTTTATCCCTATAGTTTTCGGATCACTAGGAAATCCGAACAGATGAAAAATTTTTAGGGGATAAAAATATGCCTATATCCCCGCGGGGGGGGGGGGCTCCCATACATTACCTATACGGGTATGTGCCGTCCAATGGGGTCGTGATTTTGAAGCTCCTGATTTAGAACGGGGTATCCATTTCAGAGGCGTTTTCTAGAACGGGGTATAATATTTCGAACGCACGAAAGCTCCAGTTTAAATTTTGTAAGCAGCCATTTGAAATTATTCAAGGACGGATTGCTTTTAAAAGTACGGTTCAACGCGTTAACAAGCAAACTGTTGTACTCTTTGCACCTTAGAACGGAGTATAAAAAATTGGCCCATTTCTAGAACGGGGTATCAGTTATAGAGCGAATTCTAGAACGGGGTATCAATTTTAGGGGATTTTTTTTTAGAACGGGATGCCAATTTGGAGTCCCGGGCGGCACATACCCACCCAAAAAATACCCAAGTGCCCCCCCCCCCCCGGGCGTATATCTACCGTTTAAATACTAAAATACGTTTAACAATGCTATGTTTAAGTGGTTTTGAACTATATTCTCGTTGGGTGCCCCTGTAAGTTCGCTCTCTCAGTGTAATATTTTCTGTCGTTAAGTGACATCGCCTCGAATCGAGCCGTAATAACCCTCAGCTGTTACATTGACTAAGAGGCACCAACTTGCTTTCTCCTTCCGCTTTCATTGCGTGACAACAATCCTAATTAACATATGACCATGACGAAAACCCAAAAGGAAATTGAGCTGAATTCAGTCTTTATTAAAGAGCCTTTTAGATGCTGAGACTCCAAACTCAAAACGGGCTTCGTTTGACCAGAAGTGAATTGTATTCTTTATGATTTTGAAAATTGCTGAAATCGACAACCCGCTGTAAATGAGCTTTTAAATTTGCATAATATACGAGTAGATGAAGAATTCCTACATGTATTTTATGACATTTTATGCCGGTTTACAGGCCTAAGATGGCTTACAAAACAACAAATGTACGTTATTTTGACGAAGCATACCAAGATTTTGCCCCGTGGGAAAAATATCAGCATTATCATATGAGTTTAAGTTTAGGTGCCAAACCTGCAATATTAGGTAAATATTGACAAAAGGAGCTCTCAAAAACGCTTGTTCGCGTCCGACATAGAATGATACCCGTACCTTTGACTTTATTTTCTAACAGAATAAGGTAAGATCTTTGCTGTGAAGTGCATTTTGCCTGTGATTTTTGTACCGCTTTGGAGATTTTAGCTTTTACTTTGGAGGAATTTGTCAAGGGAGAAAAAAAACTGTAAAGTGGCTCGTCTTTGATCTTATTTATTTACTTTAATTTTGCGTCAAATTGTCCAAGATTCCGTTATAGGACAAGTCAAATGCAGCTAAATCCATTGTACTATGTAGAATTTCGCGATATTTATCCGTTACGAAGAAGCGCGTCTTTTAAAATTACTAAATTTTGGCCATTGAATAAAGTTGAAAAAACGCTCTCAGACAGGAAAGAGATTTTGTGTTGTAGCGAAGCGCAGAAAAAGATTTTGAAAAAAATTAGCTCGATTTTAATCATTCCTCATTAAGTCCTTTTCACCCACAAAATATAAAGGGAAGGTTTACTGGCGATCCCAAACTCGCCGGACCGCTCTTAGGTGGACAGCCACTTAAGCCTTCACTTAACCTACAGGATCTGTTTAGCATTGTAAAGGACACTGATCATTGACTATGAAGTGAAACAATATTTTTGACGTTGCATTTGTATACTCATTGCACCAGGATGTAGCCCATCGCTTTAATGTTTTTGTCACCATTGTCTGCACTCCAGGCCGCCGTGTTTCCACAGGTGTTGTTATCATAATGATGATCATCAATACCAAACCCAATGAATGAGTCAGGGGTATCACAGTCGTTTTCTTGGTTACTTATGATACCTATTCTTGCTCTTATATTGCTAATGGGTCCCGGCCCGTGACAATTGAACCCTTCCTTGTTACAATATCTCTGCAGCGATGCCTATTGGCCAATCAGCTTCTTCCAGGTGTCACGACCCAGTGACGTCGAACGGTAGTTTCCGTCAGCGATCAGGGAGTGTAAGGAGTTGGCTTGTTTGTTGATGACGATCGAATTAACTTGATGGCTGATCTTCATAGCGAGGCAGATCTTAGTGAATGGTGTGCTCCAGTAGGTGGGTAATTTTGTTTCTTGATGATCAAGCGCGGTCTTTCCCGCAGAGGGATTATGGTCCTTCCTGTTGGTCCACAATTTTGAAATGTGATGAAAGGTATTCTAAACAGATAAAGAATGATATATCGTCAATTAACAAACTGTTTTCACATGACATCACAGCAGTCACATTCTGCTCCAAAAGTTTGTAAGACTATCCAATTTGGCCTTCTGGGCCCTGGGGGTCAACTACATCCAACCTCCTCACCTTCCCCAAGTAGTTTTGAGAATATCTAGGCGAATACAATCAAACGCCTGGTAAGAATTAAAATAATGTAATAAATACCCCAGCCAGGTAAATGACGTGACATGGCGAGATTCCTCTAAACATTTCGCTGAGATGATGGTCAATGGCCGCCATCTCGGTGTACTAGTGAGCCAGTGTGAAGAGGCTACATCACTGATATGACTAGCCGTTTTACGACCCGTCAAGATGAAACGAATCCTGTGGTCTGTGCGAAAAACAATTTCCTTTTGGCCATGTAATAAATCCTTGATTTACCAAATCTTCGGTCAAGATGACTGGATACTGGGCTGGTTCTTTTTCGCGTTTTTATGGACCTCAACTCGGTGTCGATTCATAAAAACGCAAATAAAAAGGAACTCAGCCAAAATCGAGCCATATTAGACTCATGGTTTGTCAGTAAAGCCCTATTCTTGTAAGAAACCTTCGCGGTAATATTTCTGCGAGCGGCACACAAGATTGTCCTCATGGGCTATCTCGGATCGCCCACTTTTGCGCAACATTAGTATGGTAGAAAATATGCCAAAAAGGGTAGAAATTAAATAAAATCAATTTTTGTACAAAAATTCAGCTACTTCATTATAAAACTAACAATTGATCTTAAACCATCAACCTTTCAGAAAATAAACGTTTTGTTCGTGCGCTATTAAAAAAACTTGCCCCAAGGATTGCACTGGATTGATATCACTCCCGCCCCATTCATACCAAAGCTTAAAATTTACCTAACAGCTAATTTGAAACATGAGCCGGAATGGTTTACACAACAGACTCCCATACCGTGCGGTCCAGTATGGATTGGCAATTTCCATATTTGATATTTCAATACCTGTACCCCCAGCCAAAAGCTGACGGTATGTTAGCTTCCTTTCAGCTAATTGTTTAACAGCTGTTTAGTTACTTTTCTAAAACCAGCTCCGTTGTTCACTTATGTCCAGGATTGCAATCTGTCGCAAACTGATTTGCTAGCAATTCTCGGTCGCAATTTTAGCAAAAAAGTAGTTTAAAGGAAACTGCTCGAGGTTGATCGATGAGTCATTTAACAATTATTCCACGAGTGCGCGTTGGATATGAAATGATAGACTAGCCAAAGAAGCGCGTAGCGCCGAGATGGCTACAATCATCTCATATCCAACAAGGGCGAGTAGAATAATTGTTTTATCAAAAACGCCCAAAAACAGTATCGAGAATTCCTCCCGACTTTATTTGTAAAAACAACCGATTTTCAGCTTGTTTTTAATTTTGAGCAGACGCGTACAGTTACCATACTTGGAGAGCATGGTATAATGGCTCATATACCATGATGGCTAAGCCAATCAGAGCACTAGAATTGCATTATCCAATGAGCCAGTTTTTAATAATGGGCATTATTATTCATTCAAAATATTTCTCCGATTCTGATTGGCTAAAAGCACATTTTTAATTCATCATAACCAGTTACTGAAGACCAAATTTGGAAGAATTTTGTGTTTAGCGAGGAAATGACGTGCAAAAATGCAGCGTTCTTGCAGGTTAATGCACCGTTAACCGAGAAGACCTGGGGACGAGGGTTATTTGTTTTGGTTGTGAACTTGAAAAATGGTGGACATTTCACTCGTTTCAAGAGTAAGAACTAGGCGAAAAAATAGCTAAAAACATGGCAAGAACAGCAAGAAGACAACTCGAAGGGCGACGTCTGCTATTTGGAGAACATTTGCGGAGCTGGACAAACCTAAACGTACACTATCGAAGATGAACTTAACATCGTTGGATCGATGGAGGTAAGCATGTTTTAGCCATGTTTTTAAACTAGGAATTATTTTGAATGAATAATAAAACAATAATTGAATTCGGCTTTCGCATCATATGAAGAATTATGGAGATCTCGGAGGCTATTTGGAGAACATTTGCCGAGCCGGAAAACCCTAAACGTGCACTATAGAAGGTGAACTTAACACGATGGAGGTAAGCATGTTTTAGCTTTGTTTTTAAACTAGGAATTATTTTGAATGAATAATAAAACAATTATTGAATTCGGCTTTCGTATCTTATGAAGAATTATGGAGATCTCGGAGGGTGTTATCCGCCTCGGCCTACGGCCTCGACGGATAACATCCTCCTCGATCTCCATAATTCTTCATAAGATACTCAGCCTCATTCATTAATTGTTAAATATACCATACAATCGATCATGTATATTTCCTACATCTTCCGAATATGGTAATATAAGCGGAGGTTGGTTATGAAGAATTAGTCGAGGAATTGGATCCAATCATGAACGCGGGCAATATATTATCAATGAATACTAAAATTGTTGCACCGCTGCTGCTACCTGTTTGCCATCGATCTTCATGACCAGCGTCCATCCACCTCCTCCGCATGCTCCAAGCTCAGCAGCTTCCATCTGACAGTACACAGGAATTTGTTTGGACTCCACATTCAGTAAGTAGGCTTTGTTTTCACGCTTCCTAGTAAATAGATATTTATATAATGACATATTTTTGAGGCACTGCATGAAATCAAGCCAGATTTGTTTTCTCTGCATGTTTTAGTAAGTGACCGTCCTTATATTCAATCAGATGCAAAAAACGATTGGATTTAGAGACATAAAAAGAATAAATATAAACAAAGAATATGACAATCTTTCGTACGTCCTGGACAAAACTAACATTTGGTATGGAGCAATGTCGACCTTACAACAACAAAAAAAACTTAATGAACAATTGATATACCTCGACAAACGCACGGTTACAAAAGTAGCACCAGCCGAATGCAGCGAGGGTTATTTGAGTAAGTAAGTAAGTAAGTAAGTAAGTAAGTAAAAGCTTTATTAATGTGTCAAGGTATTTAGTTTTCACAACTAATTGGGGACACAAAAATAAAAATTATTTTCAAATAAGAAATAATAATAATAATGTATATACAATTAAAATACGTAGCATGTATAAATTGTATAATAAAACAATAGGTAATAGGTAGGTAATAGTCGGGTGGTGCCGCCTAAAAAAGAATTATATGTACCCGCTGGGAAAGTAGTAAAACGGATAGTTAGGCCGTTGAAGTCAGAAATGTGATACGTGACAGCAAATGTAAAAATTTTCAAATGTAATACAGATGAACCACGCGTGTAATAAGGCCCTCATATGAACTGAAAACCGAAGTTTCTTGAAAGAGCGCCGCCCTCTAATAAAGTCGAAAAATCAAAAAGCGCTCTCTCGAATAAATACAATTTAATCGAAAGAGCACCGCATTTCCTAGCTAGCAACTCTGCAACCCTTATTGATTGTTTTAATAAAAAACAGCGGAGTCACCTTATCCACTTTAGAATTAGACAAAACTAACCCACATGGGCCTACAAAAAACAAAACAAATTTTTTTAACCAATTTTTCTTGCATTTGCCGACTTTTCGGGGCCCTTCTTGGCTTGGTCTCTTTCTAAGTCTTAAATTTTGTTACATTTGTTATTCTTGCGATTTTTGCGATATTTGTAAGTGATTATTTCAGATAATTTTCTGCTCAATCATTTCTTTTGCGACAATTGCGAAAACAATTTGCTAGTAAATTTTTGCTGACAAGATCGATCCTGGACGCCGTAGGGTTTTTGGGCCGTTTTGGGTTGAAACTGGGTATAGACTTTGCCCATTTTGGTCTGGAATCGGGTATGGTTTTCGAGGGAACTTGGGGAGTGTATGAACGTAATTAATAAAGCAAACCAAGCTTGGTTGCGTAGCGTCCTAAAACAAAACTAGCAGCCGCTAAGCGGAACGTTGAAACTCGCTCGAAACCCTTTCCATTTGCGCAGAGATTGATGGAGTGTCCGTCTAGTCACATAGTTACATCGGGATGACCAGCTAGACAGCTTAGCAGCGGCTAACTGTACATGTACTCGCTGAAGTCTCTTAACAAGATAATCTGCTATAGTATCACTGACAATGTCATTATAATCCATCTTTGACAAAATAAGACACTCTGCCAAGTGTTTTCTTTTTTTTTTTTCATTATACGGGGCAAGGTATTTCAGTTTCTTCAGTACAGACAAAGTTCCGTAACCACTTGAGATCTTGGAGTTTCTCTCTCTTTTCCAGTTGACGTTTTCCTGCACTTCCGCGCCAAGTAGGCGGAAAGTTAAAACTCGCTTGAGACTCTTTCCATTTGCGCAGAGATGGATGCAGTGTCCGTCTAGTCCATGAGTTTGTGACATCTGGGGAGTTGAAAGAAGCGGCATTACTTTAGTCTTCTTAGGATGGAACGCCAGGTTACATCGGAATGACCAGGTAGACAGCCTGCATCTCCGCCCGACAACCCACAGAAGCTCAGATGGTTTACAGTGACTATAAATCGTTATATCTTTCGCATATTGATAGCAATTTACTTCGGTTGGGTGTACGTCAGTCAAGTCGTTGACATAAAGGTTGAATAAGAGGGGACGCAAAATGAATCCCTGAGGTACCCCAAGACACATTTATGCGCTCCGACCAGCGATCACCGATTTGGACGTACTGCGTTCGATCAGTCAAATAACTCAGAATCTAATGTAGAGAGGACTTGGAAAACCCTAGCTTACGCAATTTGCACAGAAATGTCTCACACACAACTGTATCAAAAGCTTTAGAAAAGTCTTCCATAATTGCAATGGTGACGTCACCTCTGTTCATTGCCTTGGGGATATCATCTCTTATTGCTAGCGAAGTAGTTGTAGTTAAGTGGCCTTTGCGGTATGCACTTACATTTGGCTGAAGCCGCGCAGTTTCCGTGAGAAAATCCACTATTTGTCGTCAAGACAGTCTTTCATAAACCTTTGATAACACAGGCGAAATGAAAACAGGGCGAAAATCGTCATTTGCCTGGGGTTCGCCCACCTTCGGAATGGGACTAATGCGTGCAACCTTCCAAAGAGTTGGAAAGTCCAGTTTCGAAATGCACGTGTTTAAGATATGCGTTAAAGGCGATGCTAAATGGTCTGAAACTAGCTTGATGAATTTGGTTGGAATGTTATCCGGACCGGTAGAGCACTCGGACCGCAGCGCTTTGCTCTCCCGAATAACTTCATGATAGGTAACACTCTTCAGACGAAAGGAAGTATCAGGGTCCTGCGCAAGCGCATTAATACGCCTATGCAGCTCCTCCTTATCAACTGCCACTGAGGCATCGACACTCTCAGCTGCAGAAGTAAAGTGCTTATTATCCGGATAAACAGTTATTGGTTGCTGGCTAGGGTGAAGTATGCGATGGATCGTCTTCCATACTTCCTTGTGCCGCTTATACGAGAGTGCATTGGTCATAAACCTTCTCTTTGCTTTCCCAATCAGTTTCTTAAGACTGTTACGGGCGTCTTTGAAGATGTCCCACGCAGCCTCACTGTGAGGGGGTATGTGTGCTTCCCTACGATAACGCTTGCATGCTTCCTGCAGCGTTCGAATGTTCGGATCATTCAACCAGAGCGCAGGTGGTCTTGTCACGCTCACACGCTTTAAGGGTACATGTCACTCTACACAGTCCGAAATAAGAGTATTGAACGCGATTACTTGTTCGTTAGGATCCTCTAATTCAAGCATAAACGACTTCAAATGAAGTTGAGTGAAATCGTCCCTGAACTGTTTTTCGTACCTAATAACCTGGTATCTTGGAGTGAAACGGATGACAAGCGCATTGACTGTGCATCACACGTGACAAACAGTTTGCTGGAAAACATTGACAAAGGACTATTAACTGGACTTATATTTTTAGACCTAAGCAAGGCCTTTGACACCTTAGATCATAGCAACATGTTAGATAAGTTAACTTCACCAGGAATGAATCGCTCTGCTGTCCAATGGTTTAGGTCCTACTTAGCCATGCGCACCCAAAGTGTTTGCACTAATGGGGTCGTGTCTGAGCCCCAGCCTATATCTTTCGGGGTCCCCAGGGTAGCGTACTTGGCCCTTTATTATTTATCGTCTACATAAATGACTTACCTCTGGCGGTTCAAGGTTGTAGCTTCGAGTTTTATGCTGACGATACACTTGTCTATTTTGCAAGCAAGTCGGTCAGTGAAATTCAAGCTCAGTTAACTAGTGACCTAACGTACGTCCTAAGCTGGCTTCAAGCTAATTTTCTAATACATAATCTTGAAAAAATGAAGATTATGCTTGTTGGTACTCATCAGAGGAGTACTAGAAATCAGTAACACCCGTTAAGAAAGAGTTAACAAGTTTAAATATCTTGGGGTCCTAAACAACACCTTATCTTGGAAGGACCATAGATTAGGTATTCTGCGTAGAGCACGTAAAGTTCTTTCCAAGCCAACTTGTCAAATGCTCTCCAATACTATAGTCTTGCCATTGTTTGATTATTGTTCGCCTGTCTGGACAGCTGTGGGTATGGGAACAAAGCTTATCTAGACAAGCTAAATAGACGCGCCGCATGTATTATTGAAGGTCGATCTATCGGGGCTGAGGAGTTAAAATCAACACTTGGCTGGTCCAGCCTACAAGCACGCAGAAATTATCTCAAATGCGTCTTAGTCCATAAGTGTCTTCACGGAGTAGCGCCTTCGTACTTACTTGCAGAGTTTAGGCACGCGCACCTTTTCCATGGTGATAACACCGGAAGCCGTTATTTGCTGCGCCCTCCCTTCGCAAAAACTACTAATACCAAGGTAGCTTCAGAATAAGCAGTGCGAAGTCTATTTAATTAGAATTATAAAATTCTTTTAATTAGCAAATTAACGCTCTTCGTATTCCTTTTTAACAATTCTGACGCTTGGACCTTTCTCAGATTTCTCAGTAATTATTCCAATCTTTAATTTTTCATAAAAGTAATGTCATACTTCTATTGTTGGTTTTCACATGACGTCACAAAAATTCAAACTAACAAAATATCGATCCTACGGATTTTACTTTCACGGTGCATTAGAGCAGCTGAAAACTAATGTTCACACAAATTTTTGCTTCAAAAGGGTTCTTGGTTTTGTGATAGAGTACGCTTGAATTTCTAAGCTTTTGCCGGTGACGCGCATTTTCATGACAGCCAAGAGAGCGGTCATGTAGGTTAAAAAAATGACTTATTTTAGGAAATTTTGCTATTTAAACAGTTCATGTATTAGAAAAAGTACTACTTTAATGTTTATGAGTTTCTCGAAGAATATATTCACGCTTTTGTAGCAAAACTCGGTAACAGATGTTTCTGTTGGTTTCCGTCCGCCATGTTGGAGCTCATCCAGCTGAGAACCAGCATGGAGTCTCCATACAAATCTCTATAAGTTTGGGTAAAACATTTCTTCGGATATCTCGTATACGAAATATTCCTCTGACCTGAATCTTCACGAGAGTTAGCGTATATGTACCTCCTTTCATTTCCCAGATAGATACATGTATCTTGGCACCTTGTACAGAATAAATCGCTACAAATTCAAAGTGCGGCAGATTTCGTTTGAACAAATATAATAATACAAGTAATCAACCAGTTAAATTATTTTTCTTATAGTGTTGTATTTCCTATTATTTTTTGTTTTCTTCTATTTTCTATTTCTTTTCTTTTAGGATTATTATTACTATTGTTTATTATTTATTTTCCTCTATCTCGGAGATGTTAGCTTCAAGAGCTACACTACGGAAAATCCGAAGTTAAATAAAGGTGATGTATGATGTGATTTAACGCTGTTTCTCTTTTAAGTTGCTTGGGGGGTCAGAAATTCTGAATACTTTGACAAGCATGAACAGATAGGCATTTTTGTCCCTTGCCGTGATCGTGATGGGGGATCAGAAATTCTAAATACCTTGACGACCATGAACAGATATCCATTTTTGTCCCTTGCCGTGATTGGGGATCAAAAATTCTGAATCCTTGAGGAATTAAAAATAGATTACTGTTTTGTTCTGTCAAGCTATGGGCCGGGGGATCAGAAATTCTGGATACTTTTATAACTATGAACAGATAGCCGTTTTTGTCCTTTGTTATGATGGGGGATCAGAAATTCTGACTCCTTCTGGAATTAAAAATAGATTACTGTTTTGTTCTGTTAAGGTATGGGCCGGAGGATCAGAAATTCTGAATCTCTCCAAGAAAGAAAGCGCAATGGGTGTACGATCTCTTTCACATGAAATTGATAGAATTGGAAAATTGGATGTGTTGTTTCTTGTGGACACAACTGAACACTTTTCTTTCTCCTTCTAATTAGCGAAAACCTTTCAGAAACACAAACTTTTTCAGCATCAAATACCAATACTCTTCTGAATTTCCCAAATTGGAAGGCCCCATTTTAGTTTGGAAGGCGCTGCTTATAATAAAATAAGTTTGTACAATAAGATGTAAAGGTGATACAAAGGTACTTACAAAGATAGTGGTTGCCTAGTAACATATAACAATTAATATTAATAATAATTAAACTAAAGCAGCATAAGTGATTAACTATTGCAAAAAAGACAGTTTTTACATCCGCCATCTCAAATTAAATTTGCTAAATCTTTATTTTATACAACGTTTAAAAACACCCAAGCTGTTCTTGTCACTTTCCTCTTTTGTTAGCCTGGACCACAAGAAAGGTCCCAGTTATTTCAGAGAGAGTTTCCCGTATTTCACCGTGTTAAAACGGGGCATAGTAAAGTCATAGTATATCGCCCTTTTTCTTCCTCCTGAGTCATTTTATTTTTCTAAATATGCTTTCAAGCGTGCGATCTCCTTCACATTTATCATTACAATATAATTATAAATACAAAAGACAAGTTCTGAGAATTAAGAAATGAGCACCAGTGAATTTTTTTCTCACTTCTCCCTGCTGGTGGTAGACGAAATGTGCAGAGATCAGCGAGACCTTTGCCTTCTTGTCTGAAGTAAATGTACACGCTTACAAAGTTCCATTTTCGGTGCCACGATCAATTCTACGAAGGCGTGGACAACCAGCATTTTCTTTTACACATTGAAGGGACCTCAGGCCTGTTATTTGACCTTTCAACTTCCAACCAAAGGATTTTGTACCGTACCCCTCTGTGTCAGACTTGTTCCAGCTGGATTTAGCTCACGAAGAATATTCGCAACCCTTTCTCTTGGCACATGGATGTGATGATTCAATCTTAGCTAGTGCCACACTGCTCTGTAACCACGATCGCTAACGTCCACGCTACGTCTGCTGAGACCGTAGTCACGAAGCCGTCGTTTCAAAGTTGAAGGATTCATTGTGACTGCTTGTCGATTATTAACGCAATCAACAACAACTTGGTTTTGAAGTCCATGGTGAAAATAGCGTTCAATTAATCGCCTTACTTCTGTGCTGTCCATTGCATCTGTATCAAAAGCACTAAACATGGCGGTTTGCGAGAACTCAGGCTCTTTGCGTTTCCTGTTTACTTCCGTCTTTCTAATTTATTTGTTTTATTTGTTTGTGTTGTGCTTTTAGGTTTGTGGTGTCATACTTCTGAAAACGCGATAACAACTGCGAAACTGTTCGGTAAATTTCTTTTAAAATTTGGTATTGACACTGGTCCTAGCAAGATTTCCTCTATGTCTATCAAAGCAATGATTTCATTTTTCCGAGCTCTTTGTCCGCAATATGTAATTAAAGCTCAAACTTCGGAGTTTTTGCTGCTAGTAAAACCCATTGGAGTCACCTTTTCCAGATAACACTGACTGACATAGTGCTCCACATGACGAAGCTTTTAAAAACAGTTAATTGGGGGGTGTGGTTACATTGTACGCAAACAAAGCCCTTGTCTAAAGTCCGAACCTGAAGAATCTGGTACTTACTATGATATGAGAAAAGTTGTGTGTTATATCGAGACGAAAAAAGTAGTAAAAAATGTTGCTAACACCATAGTAATCACGTATGCTGTACTCACAAAGTCGTATCATAAATGTCCTTGCAAGTTGACGACTCTGTAAAAAAACATCGACAATGCGTCATTCTGTCGTTCATTCCAGTTCATGAAGGACAGTGCGCATGGCCCTCGAACGAGTGCGTCACTCTTTTGCGCTCTTCAAGTAGTTAGTTCCGATCTCTTTAATTCAATCTCTATTTTCAAAGCAAAGCAAAAGAAAAAAATGGACAAACTAAGAAAAAAAACGAGAGTTTTTGATGAATTACACAATTTCTGTTAAACCTGTTTCACGTAAACCCGTGCCTGAAAAGGAGAAGATATATTTAAGTACCCATTTCAATTAACATATCTTGAAGTGCTTGGTAGTATATTTACCTGTACAATTATGTTCATGTACACTTTCGGAATACCCTTCCCTGCAAACGCACCTAAATGATCCTTTAGTGTTTTGGCACAATGAACTGGTGGCGTTACAGTTGTGTTTTCCTGTCTCGCACTCGTTTATGTCTGAAAATTAAGAATTAATGCTGAATTATCAAATATACGTTCCTATTTTGACGATGCTTTTATCATTTTAACCTGATTCACCCCACTTTGACAAAAGAAGAAGACATTTTTTAAAGTATCCATTTCAATTGATATCTTGAAGTGCTCGGTGGTATATTTACCTGTACATTTATCTTCATGTCCACTTTTGGAAAAACCCGGCATGCAGACACACTTGTAAGATCCTTTAGTGTTATCGCACACTGAAGTATCGGCGTCACATTGGTGGTTTCCAGTTTCACACTCGTTTATGTCTGCAAATCAAGAGTTAATGCTGAATTATCAATCAGGTTCGATTTTTGTGTCGATTTTATCCAATTAGGATAGATATATATCATATTTTATGGTCGAAAGAATGATAAATTTTTATAGTGGACAAAACAAAAAAGGAGGTTAGATTGAATGCCAAATAACTACAAAACACAAATGATAAACCAATTTACATGTTGCACACTTGGAAAGCTTTCGCTGGGGGAATTTAGCCCGCGAAAAGGAAAATTGAAAAGAAGAAGATATATTTAAGTACCCATTTCAAGTAAAATGTCTTGAAGTGCTCGGTAGTATATTTACCTGTACAATTATGTTCAGGTACACTTTCGTCATACCCTTCCCTACAAACGCACCTAAATGATCCTTTAGTGTTTTGGCACAATGAACTGGTGTTGTCACAGTTGTGTTTTCCTGTCTCACACTCGTTTATGTCTGAAAATTAAGAATTAATGCTGAATTATCAAACTGTAGATCTGTTAAGCATCATAATATGCCGTATACGTTCCTATTTTGACGATGCTTTTATCATTTCAACCTGATTCACCCCACTTAAATTGGACAAAGGAAGAAGACATTTTTAAAGTATCCATTTCAATTAGCATATCTTGAAGTGCTCGGTGGTATATTTACCTGTACATTTATCTTCATGTCCACTTTTGGAAAAACCCGGCATGCAGACACACTTGTAAGATCCTTTAGTGTTATCGCACACTGAAGTATCAGGGTCACATTGGTTGTTTCCAGTTTCACACTCGTTTATGTCTGCAAATCAAGAGTTAATGCTGAATTATCAATCGGGTTCGATTTTTGTGTCCATTCTATCCAATGAGGATAGATATATATATCATATTTTATGGTCGAAAGAATGATAAATTTTTATAGTGGACAAAAGAAAAAAGGAGGTTAGATTGAATGCCAAATAACTAAAAAATACAAATGATAAACCAATTTACATGTTGCACACTTGGAAAGCTTTCGCTGGGGGAATTTAGCCCGCGAAAAGGAAAATTGAAAAGAAGAAGATATATTTAAGTACCCATTTCAATCAACATATCTTGAAGTGCTCGGTAGTATATTTACCTGTACAATTCTGTTCAGGTCCACTTCTGGAATACCCTTCCCTGCAAACACACCTAAATGATCCTTTAGTGTTTTGGCAGAATGAACTGGTGGCGTTACAGTTCTGTTTTCCTGTCTCACACTCGTTTATGTCTGAAAATTAAGAATTAATGCTGAATTATCAAACTGTAGATCTGTTAAGCATCATAATATGCCGTATACGTTCCTATTTTGACGATGCTTTTATCATTTCAACCTGATTCACCCCACTTAAATTGGACAAAAGAAGAAGACATTTTTAAAGTATCCATTTCAATTGATATCTTGAAGTGCTCGGTGGTATATTTACCTGTACATTTACGTTCATGTCCACTTTTGGAAAAACCCGGCATGCAGACACACTTGTAAGAACCTTTAGTGTTATCGCACACTGAACTATCGGGGTCACATCGGTGGTTTCCAGTCTCACACTCCTTTATGTCTGCAAATCTGCAAATCAAGAGTTAATGCTGAATTATCAATCAGGTTCGATTTTTGTGTCGATTCTATCCAATGAGGATAGATATATATCATATTTTTATAGAATGATAAACTTTTGTAGTGGACAAAACAGAAAAGGAAGTTAGATTGAATGCCAAATAACTAAAAAATACAAATGATAAACCAATTTAGATGTTGCACACTTGGAAAGCTTTCGCTGGGGGAATTTAGCCCGCGAAAAGGAAAATTTTGGCGGCTCGAGCAGACAAAGCCGGCGAGAATAAAAGGGCTTGGAAATGTGCACGCCCAAATTTCCCTCGAAATCGCATATGTGAGCCTGTTCGTAGGCTGCAACTAACACCAGACATTTTTCATGGATACGACCTGTGGGGTGTTTCTTGGTGATGGGGAAACCATTTGTTGGTTAGCTATTGTTATGTGGTGTAGATATTGTACAGTGTCTTTTTAATCTTTTGTATTACGTCATTTTGTGATTGAACCCGTCCACAACAGGTAGAAACTACCGATTTGTGACATACCATTGACTAAATATGAAACCGGTTTCCAGATTTCTGATTGGCTCTAATCTTTATGGTATGGAAAAGCATAAAACTAAAGATGAAATCCTGTTAGTTTAAGCTTCGTATGGTTTGCTACCTGCACAGTTAACACCATCCCCAGTATATCCTGGCTTACAAGTACAAGTGAAGGAACGCTTGGTGTTGGTGCAGTACGCATCATCGTGGCAGTTATGCTGTCCTGTTTTACACTCATCTACAAATCAACAAATGGAAGTTAGGTACAAGAATTTACTTGACGTAAAGTAATCCACCTTCACCTTTCAGCCGATCAAGAGTTGTTTAAATTATTTATTTGCAACAGTTCAATTCAGTTCAAATTATTATAATCTATGAATACCCTTCGTTCAATGTCCCCAACCACGGCGTGATTTGCTAAACAAGTTTGTTAAAGGACTTGGAACGTTAGTCTCAAAACTTCAATCAAGAAACTTTGCACTCCTAGGGACGCATCGTATAGTGCTGCTAGGCTACACTCAGGGGCACCCAAAGGATCTGTTGCTCAAAATATCTGTTCTTCAAGCCAATTTTTGCTGGCTGGGAGATGTGGAAGAAATAATATGTCCCTGGAAGGAAAGTGTTGCTAAGAAAAAAATGTGTCTGAGGGGATTTGATGTTTAGAATAGTTACTATGTGTTATGCATCAGAAACCCCTGCCCCAAACCCCTCCCCCCCACCCCCACTGCTGAGGGGTGAACTTTGCCCTATGACCACACCACAACTGGCCAGTAATGTCTGGACATACGTCTGCTGGGAAACTTCCAGTAAGTCAGGTTGTAGGTTATAGGTGCACCCTGCCGGCTGGGAACTCTTCCATCAGTCTTCCTGGGAGTGAGGAACAGATTAATTTTTAGTAGCAATCTCTCAAAATGCTTAAAATGGCTTCAGAAAGCTTTATTTAAGCTTTGTTGTTGTTTTAAAATTTCCTGTTGAGTTCCCCTGTACACTGTCCAGTGACTTTCGGTTTTGCATCCTCGCCAGGGGGGGTGGGGTACTCCGGATTTCAACTGATAGGAAGAGTAAAGAATAATTCTTTATTTAAACCCGGTAAAATTCATCAGGAGTATAAAAAATCTTAAATAAACCTAAGTACCCTAAACAGCATGCAAAACCATAACTAACCTAACTAAGACCTGCTTTTCATGAATGCCGTGTACACAGTACTTAAAAGTCAGAAATTCAGATGAGCCAATCGTTTAAATTGACTGAAAGATTTAGAAACAATACCAATTAACTGCACCGAGGCACACGTACCAACTCCGAAGTACGGCCAGTACCTTAGGCATGCACACAAGCATATCACCCCGGCAGTGGCAGCCATGGACAGCTGTTTCGCCCTTATTGGGGCTCATGGTTGTGCGCAT